ATGGTTAACCATCATAGTATTACAGTAGCATTCTCCATCATGGAATGTTGGAAATTTGTTGGCATATCAAAAACAATGAACGCATAATGGAAAATGTTGGATGATGGTGACCATCAAATGATGTTCGACCATCATCCATCTCACTGAAGCCAACATAAACCATCAAAATGTTTTGAGGGGACCATCAAGAATTTTGACTGAATAAAATTAGTTTGTTATTATAATGTCTATGTTATTGCAGTTGTCGCCACTTTCTAAGCGATCATTCTACATTCAAACAGCCACCCTAATTTTTTTAATAAATTTAAAAAAAAATAATAATAATTTAAAGCAAATCTAAAAATTCAAATGTGTTTTTACCTTTAGAGGCGAGCAATAAATTTCCTTAAGGGGATATCTAATAAAATATGTGAGAGGTAGAAAGTTATACAATTCTTATATTATTTTGCATAAATGTTATATATAATATCCAGTCAGGTGATCGGAAGAGTAACAAATAAATATTTCGTCGGGTACCCGGAACCAGCCGGGTAAAATATTCAATTTTTCCTGCGTGCATGGACCCAGCTAGATTATAGGACCCGGTACATCTCTGAAAAAAATTAATGTTTCAATATGCACGTAAGTTCTGATTTAATGACTGAACCCAGAGTCATGTTTATGAATGAAAACAAAAATGTCCAAGTACATCATTTTTACAATTCATAATGAATTTCTTCTCAAACAACCATTCACATTACTTTGAAACTTTTGTCGGTTAAAGGACATGAATTAATGTCCATTAACAACAAAACACTTATTTTGTTATGTGTGTAGAGAGATGTCACGTCTATGGGCATTATAAAATTCATATTATATTAGTTAATTTTTTTTAAATAAATCAATATATCCGTGTAAAGTTTCAAGCATTCGAGATTACTTTACCGATTTTCAAAATTTTGTCTTAATGAGTCTTCATTTTATAACAGTAGTTGAACAGAGGTCCCGAGTTTTTGGATTTACGACTTTCTTTGGGTTACTTAATGTTCAACTCCGTAGCCTTGTAATTTTGAACCCAATTCAGAAGACAAGGGAACTCCTGTATCTAGTATTGGGAGAAATTCTCCTTCAATGGTTCAATGCAACTTGCCTTCGACTAACCCGCATTTGCGTTACACGGAGAGAAAAACCATTAATATTTCCCACAGTTAGTCTGATGGCAAAGGGACTCTAACCCATGATTCGTCTACCACTGAGGATATTTTTACGTTAGCACTGTGGACGGTGCGAAATTCGTATCAATCATCCATCGCTGTGATTCGATCCCGGTTTACCTGATTGGAAAACGAGCGCTCTAAGTTGTACAGAAAATCACGTTTTCAACTCATACGTTACACTTATTAGTCACTTTTCCGACTAGCTAGAGCAATGGTTCCCGAAATATGTTCCGCAGAACACTAGGGTTCAGTGGAAAAATCAAAACGCTTCCGTGAGTTAGAATTTTTTTTCTTCTTTTAACCAGTAAGGATTCCTGAAACCTGTAATACGTTTGTATCCAACCGATAATCCGTTTTATATTTAATATCAAAGTTATTTTTATGAAATTATTTATATAAGATTGCAATAAAAATTAACAAATAAAAAAAAATGTTCTTCTGTAACACTATATTGAATAAATTAGTAAAAGGATATAAATCATTGCATCAGTTTTTCTTATCGAATTTGGAAATTCAAAATAAAATAACCAAATTTGAGAGCAAAGAACTATTTTTTTCTGATAATCATTCTCACAATTTGTAACAGTTCTTTTTCATAAACCATAATTCAGCTTCTTTTATTCAATTTCAACTTATAACGCAAAAACTATTTGACTTAACATTGACAGAAAAGCCACCGTAGACTTGAGAACTCAACTGCTTAATATAAAACATAATTTTAAGACTCATTAAATGAAATAATGAAAGAATTTTTTCACATTTTTAAATGGCTAAAATAAAACTTTAATTTTATATTCTGTCCTAAAATTATAAATTTAAATTAAAATTTTTTTCAAAACAAAAGATAAATTTGAGTAAAAAAACTACAAATTTTCCATGTCACGCTAAAAGCTCTAAAACAAATTACAATGAATAAATTTCGAAATATTTTTTTTCTAGTTCTAAGACCAGGTCTAGAACTAAGATCTTAAAAAAATTACAAAAAGGCAATGAAATAGAAATAAATATATTTGCATTTTTAAAGAAAAAAATCTAAACACTATTATTTAAAGTTTGATAAAAATAACAAAATCCTGCATAGACCTTAGATTTTAATTCAAAATATAGCTACAAAATTTCAAAGAATTGTATTAGAAATCTTTTTTGGTAATGTGTGTTAGCGTAAAGAAATTTTCTTAATATCAACGTTCTTCAGAAAATGCAAAAAAAAAAAAAAAAAAAAAAAAAATTCAGAAAAGTAAGAAAATTCCAAGAACAAAGAAAATTCATAATTCGAAAAGGAATTTCTCATTTGTCTTGAAAATATAATTTATTCAAATGAAAAAAGGTTAAGTAAGTATTAAAAACATTTTTTTTTTTGGTTTTCGTGAGTTTACTGCCGATTTCGTCTTTCAGCATACGAAAATAAACTTTATTTCTAAAAATCAGGAATCAAGCATTCAAAGGGTTAAAGAAAGCCAGCGGTCGGAAAAACTACATTATTTTTGTAGTTTTCTACAACTACAGCTACGCTGTTACAAATGTAGTGACTACAAACTACTTTGGAATTTAGTAACTTTTTCACTACTTTAAGGACACGAACTTAGCGCTAAATATAAGGGAATAATTAACAAAAAATATTTATTCATGTTTAAATGAGCCAGTTTGTTATTCTAAAACATTTCTTTTTTATGGCTTTCTCGACAGCGAATTAATTAATTTAAGAAATGCTAAATTATTAAATACTTGAAATTTTTTAAATGCTCTTTTATTTCCTCTAAAAAAGCATGAAAAATATGTCCCCCCCCCTTTGAAATAACATCAATGTTTCACGAATGTGCATCCACACGTGAAAGTGTGAACAAAGTAATCTATCTATATTATATAAAACGCTAATACGTACGTACGTATGTATGTATGTATCAATAAAACCGATGATATTTCTTTTCTCGCGCTGGCAACAGTTTTCATTTTTAATTGATTGGATTCGGCGCGCAAGAGCACGTAGTGAGCAACCAGATAACAATAACCAGAGTGAGCATTATCAGGTTGTTCAATTCAGATTCATGCACTAAAAACATGACAATATTTAATTTAAACTCAATTAGGAATTAATTAATTAATTGAAGTGAGAATGCTTTAAAAGGCCGCTGTTGAATTGATATTTTTCTACTGGGAGCTACCTAAACGTCTAAAAAACGTTTAAGTGTTTGTATTGAATGCATTGAATTTTTTTATATTTCGCGTTTATTTATGCATTGAATTTTCACGCTTTAAAATGCAGAATATTAGTGAAGCAATATTTGATAATTTATTTTGCTAATATGTTTCTTATTTAGCTAATGTTTTGATTTTTTCACCATGTACAATCTAAATAGCTAATATACTTTTTTAAAAGCCAATAAGAACATTGGTAGAATTCTTCTACATAAGTACAATACTATGTCTTTGATGATAAAATACTATGTCTTTGATGATAATATATTATGTCTTTGTGCTAGAACATTGTGTTCATTGGCGAGCGAGCGCAGCGAGCCATGGTTCACGGCGTGAACCACATAGGATTGCGTAGCAATTCTCGGGGATTGGCGAGCGTTAGCGAGCAGGGGGCGGAGCCTCCTAGCATTATATAAAACGCTAATACGTATGTATGTATCAATAAAACCGATCATATTTCTTTTCTCGCGTTGGCAACAGTTTTCATTTTTAATTGATGGGATTCGGCGCGCAAGAGCACGTAGTGAGCATCATATGGCTAATCTATATTATATAAAACGCTAATACGTTTTAATTGATAGGCTTCGGCGATAGGATTGATAGGGTTGGCGAGCGCCAGCGAGCTGGGGGCGAAGCCTCCTAGTAATTATCAATTTTTCGTAATGACTAGTTTAAATATTTGTTATACGTGCGAAGATTTGTAACCCATTAAATTTGAAAAATAAGTTGTGTTAAGAGCCCTGTTCCGTTACTAAATTATCGATAAATGTAGTTTTTAGTAATCACTACAAACTACTGTTTTTTTTTCTTTTTGGTGTTGCACTACTCACTACACTGCTTTTTTAAAAATGGTGCTCACTACACTACAAACTACGGAAATAAGTAGTGACTGCAGTAGTTTCACTACCTGTAGTGCGTTATTTCCGATCACTGCAGTAAACTAATGAACTAAAGTTCAAAAATGGATAATAATAACGAAAATAGAAGTTTTCGTCAAAATTGCAGTTTTTTACGCATACTGGATAAAATGTACTGGATAACTGGATAACCGGATAACTGGGTAAAATGTTTCTGAATTAATTAGTATTTCTTCTTCTTTTCTTTTTTTTTGTTAGCGTATTTACAACTGATATTGAACGTATTTTAAAAGGCAGGGTTCCACCTAAAGAAATTCAATCGGATATTTTACTATAATATTTTACGGCTAACTATATTTTATGTCAGCACTGTGGTCGGTGCGAGGTGGTCGCGGAGTTCGTATCGACAGCCATGGCTGGGATTCAAACTCGGTTCGCATCAATTTGAGACGAACGCTCTATCCCCTCAGTCACCTCCGCTCTTTTTAACTATTTAAAATTTTCCATTTAAAAAAAAAAATGGTCGCATGTTTCGAAAAGTGGCCACTGTTAAAAATGCTGCAACTGGCCGGCAGCAAGTTTACTAATTTTGCTCTATATCAGTGTTTAGTAACTTTCTTTTTTTGCGGCTAGGTGTGAAAATATCTCTATTGAGAAGAAATGTATATACTGTATGGAGTGGTAAATATACTTCAGTCTAATCAGTTTACAGTTTAATTAAATTAATTATAATGAAGAAAAAAAAACTCACTGAATGAAGATTTTCGCCTGAGTTTGCGTTCAGAAAGTCTTTCCTCCAAAACGCTGAAAGTGGAGGGGGTGGGAGATTCTCTGCTCTCCTGAGGGTTGTATGGATGGAGGCTGTAAGGCACTTCATCAAAGCTTCTGCTAGTGTCCTCATAGGGGCCCTGAGCATCTTCGTAGCCCTCTTTGTGGTAAGAATCAAATATATCGACTTGCGAATAATCCTCATCCATGCGAAGGGCGTTATCCACTAAGGCCACGAGGTCACTGGACGGCCACAGTCCACCACTTGGACCCCCCTCACTTGTTGATCTCGTATCCAAACCTGAATAGACCTCCATAATGATAATGCGAGTTCAAGTTGAAAATAAAAGTTTGAGAATTGATGTAGTTTCGGATGGAATACAATAAACAATTTTATGTGATGCAATTAAAATTTTAAACAATTTCAATTCATGCGAGTTTCTGCTTCATGCTTCAGGTAGATGAAGTTTATTTTATTCCAGGTAATTAGTTTTTGAAAAATGTATCCCGATTATAAGCTCTATGAGAATATTCCTCCTGAAATCTTTTTTCACAGCATCGAAGCGTAATCCACGTAAAATGTTTGAAGACATCTTTTTCAAATTATGTAGTCTTTCTAAAACGTATTTTCATCTACTAAAATCACACTTTTAACGTAGCACAAAATATTGAACACGTCTTTCGAAATTAAACATGTCTTAATGCATCACACTTTTACGTTGTACTAAATATTGAACACGTCTTTCAAAGTTGAACACGTCTAAATACATCACACTTTTAAGGTAGCACAAAATATTGATCACGTCTTTCAAAATTAAACGTGTCTTAATACATCACACTTTTAACGTAGCACAAAATATTGATCCCGTCTTTCGAAAATGTTTCTGTTCATCACACTTTATCCACTCAATAAATCCCAGAATTTGCGATACGCGAACACTGCACCAAAAATAGTTTTCCGGTGAGTTTTAGTAGACACTTATCACACACTTGCAGCCACCCTGCGTGGACGAAATTCATAAGTAAAAAGAATAAATTAATAGGTAAAAAAACACCGAATTTCTGAAATACACGGCACTTCAGAATGGAATGAACACCTTCGATTCTTGATACAGTTAAAATAGAAAACACCAAACGATGTGTAGAGAAAAGAAGATGAGTGTTTACTATTCGAATAGCCGGTCGTTGAACTAAGATGCGAGGCTCATTCTGGGGGAAGCCCTTCTTCTTCCGAAAGAAAAAAGAAAGATCAAAAAAAAAGAAGAAGAGAGGGAAGGAAGGTGAGAGCTGGTTGGACAGGAAGGGAAGTTGAGAGGAGGAGCCCTAGGGAATGTAGCTCCAGGATGGCTGATACCTTTTCCCGAGGGCAGGAACAGGAGGAATGGTTGAAAATCTTTTGTTGATTGTTAGAAAGAGTGCCAATTCACTCCTTAACGAACTTAAGTGGACATCGATATAATCAGTGGTCGGAAAATTTACATTTAGTTCACTCCAACTACTTTTTTTTAAAAAAAAAATGTGGCGACTACGAACTATACTTTCGAAATGTAGTCAGTACTTCGCTACTTTTAGAGGACAAGTTTAACTGGAGAACTTAATTTTCACCTATGTTCAAAATTATTTTAAATAAAAAATTGGTTTGGTTAAATGGGGGGATAAAGAAGTTTTAATTATTCATGTTTAAACGAAATAGTTTTTTTTAATTTTTTTTATTCTAAGCACTTTTTACGAATTTGTTCTTTTAACTTTTAAACTCTATGCTTTTCTCGACAATGATTTAAGAAATGCTTCGAAATTATGAAATATTTGTGAATTAAGTGATCAATGCTTTTTTATATCTTCCAAGAAATAAAGTAGAGTGCAAAAAAAAAAAAAAAAAAAAAAAAAAAAAAAAAAAAAAAAAAAAAAAAAAAAAAAAAAAAAAAANTGCGAAAAAAAAAAAAAAAACGGACCACCCTGAATAACTTTTGAACTAATGATCGGATCTCCACGTTCTAGAACTCAATCTTAATGGTTTGAGGGGCTGACTGCAAATATGCTAATTAATTAATGCAGACGATATTTTAAGTAACGAAATCAGACACGAAAACGTACATTATAGTTCCCGTGGACTCGAATTTTAACAAAGTAAGATAGTTTAAATTCGATTTCTCAGAATCAATTCGACCGATTTCGCGCCGCTTTTTCCGAGCATCAGATCTTATTAATGATCAGCCCCAGTGGCATTCTCATTGCGTGCGTTGACGGGTCAGCGAAAGATTTGCACCAATCAGATTCGAAACATTTTTAGTTTGAACTTAATTTCCTTATTTTATAATTTTATAACCATCGTTGAACAGCCGACCCAATTTTATGGGTTTACGACTACTTATGTTCAACTCCATAGCCTCGTAATTTTGAACCCAATTCAGAAGACAATGGAACTCCTGGATCGAGTATTGGGAGAAATTTGCCTTCACGGAGAACTTTTTTGATGGAGCTAACCCGCATTGGCGTTACATGGAGAGGAAGACCACGAGAACCTCCTACAGTTAGCCTGACTGCAAGAGGGCTCTAACCCATGATCCGTCTACCACTGAGGATATTTCACGTCAGCACTATGGTCGGTGCAAGCCGGATGCGTAATTCGTATCGACTGGGATTCGAACCCGGTTCGCCTCATTGGAAGGCGAACGCTCTATCCCCTGAGACATCGCAGCTCTAGTTTCTTTATTTAATTAATGTCAAAAGTAGTTGCCGAGAATCGCTACAAACTATCGATTTTCTGTATCGTACTTCACTACTTTTTTTAAAAAAAATGGCGCACTACACTACAAACTACGGAAAAAAAGTGGCAAATACAGTAGTTTTGCTAATTGTAGCTCGCTACTTCCGACCCTTGGATTTCAGTATATCTAGCAGTGAATCTCATACACATCCATATTAGAGACATTTTTACAGTGAAAAATAAAGAACTTTTTCTACTGACCAGTGATCTTCTGTAATATTTTTAAACAAAATCGGGCATTTTGAATACGATTAATAAAACACGAACGATTAATAAAAAATACAGTTTACGGATGTTTACTTTTCAAATAAAACACAATTTTTGTGAAATATAACCAAAACAAAATATAACATAACATAAACAAAACAAAAAAATACAATTTACGGAGTGTGAGAGGAGCTCAAAGTGGAGATAAACATTGTTATCTACACAAGTGAGTTATTGTTTCCAAAATTTTTTTTTTCTACGAGTCGAAATCAAGTCGATAGGACTTGTTTAAAAGTGATTTTGTGAGTATAAAGTTTTAAAAAAAAAATTAAATAAAAAAGAAAAGAAAATGCTCTTTTTGATTATGCCAATTTTGAGTCTAGAAATATCTATCAAATAGGCATAATCAAAAATTTTTTTTTACTACTTCATAAATACTAAAATCACTTCTAAGCAAGTCATATAGACATGATTTCGACTCGTATGATAGGAACAACAGATAGAAAAACAGATAGGAAACAATACCTCACTTGTCTAGATAACAATGTTTATCTCCACTTTGAGCTCCTCTCATCCTTAGTAAATTCAATATGGCGGCTTAAAACTTACATTCAGGTAGGAGGAGAAATTTCAGATATTTAGCTTGAGCTTAAAACACACCTTTTAATACAATATCCGGCATTGTCTTAATTATTTCTGCATTCAACGACTTAAGAATTGACCTATATTGTTAATTAAAATAAATTTTGTTTCCTAGCCTTGCATGGAAATGCATCTTCATCTAAGAAACACTGTACAACCGCCATTTTGGAATCGATGGTTTGGAAAAATGGAGGTCTTATAGGATAATCAGGGCTCGAAAAACAGCCCGTCCGCCCGTCCTCGACGGTCAAAAATTCCCCGCGGACAACGAATTTCTCGAATCCGACGTCCGCGCGGACGGCCATTTTCCCGTTAATGTTCGTGATACATTTTCAATTTTTGTTATCTTACAAGAGTCTAGCGCCTCACTTCTAAAATGACCCTCTAATCTAGAAATACAGCAACATACTGCGCATGGTGGAATTGATGTTTTCTCTGTCTGGGAGTACTGCAGCGGTTGAAAGGGGCTTTTCAGCAATGAACTTACAAAAAAACACATTACGTACTGGTCTTAAACAAGAAGCGTTAAACGCAATTATGAACATCTACCTAAATGGAAAACCCCTTTCAGATTTCTGTGCAGAAACCTCTGTAAATCATTGGCTTGATTGTGGAACTGGCAAACGTCATATTTGATTCATTTAAAAAACGCAGTACCCTCGGATAAATTGACATTCCAGATAACTTGACCTTTGTCATTTAAATTATTTCATAAAAGAAATAAATTATTTTATAAAAGAAATACTAGGTTACTATTAGTAACGTAGTATTTCTTTTATTACTGTAAAATGTAATCCTAGTAACTGCTAATTCATTGTGCAATTTGTATAAAGGTTTGTAATAAATGAGAGAAAATTATATTTTTATTTATTTAGAAGCAACGGGTTAGTCTCACAGGAGGACGGGTACTTTGTTGGACAAGCCGTCCTCGGGGACGGGTAAAATTTCTGAGTTTTTTCGAGCCCTGAGGATAATATAGTAATAAATGCCATTTTTTCGAAAGTAACAAAATATTCCATAGTAATGTTTCTATCACTGCGCTTTGAATATTCTCAGAATTTCCACTACGTAACAACACAAAACAGAACATTTTATTACTTACAATAGAAATCGGGTTTTTCTTTTTAAAACCAAAAATGCGCTTCTACATCATTGCAGACTCCTTGTTTTACCTACTTAAAATTCCTTATTAGCTCAGAGCTATTGTAATTTATTTGTTGATGCCCATTTCAAATAAATGAACATTTTTATGGAACTAGTCCTTCCATTTGTTCAGTCCAATTTTTATACATTATTTAATGATGGATAAAAATGGCATAATGGTGGCATAATGGATGGCATAATGGATGGATGGCATAATATATTTCGTTCGCTTTTCGTTAAAAATAAAATATAAACAGTAACACATACAGTCCCTGCCAAATTATTAAACGCACTATAAGATTCTATGTAAAATCTTACTTATTAGACGATAGTATACAGCTGTTTTTAGGCTGCTGAAATAGGTTTGCATTTGTTTACATTTGTGTATCAATTGGTTACTATTGTAATGCAATCCGTTAAAAATTAATACAAACTAAACTCAGCGGCGCGACAGCCCTAGAAGGGCCAAGGCCTACTGTGCCCATCTCAGTTTTCTTGACCTTGGGCTCTGGGGTGCAGAAGCAGATGTTCCGGTCAGGTGGCCAGCCGAACGCGGAACCCCCATTGTTTAGT